GAGTTTTTGTACAATTACTTTAGGTGTTCAAAAACTTGGCCATTTACTTGTATGCATAATTCAAGTCTACGCTGAAAATCGTCCCTAACTTTTTGAAGAACACCTGCATTAATATTTCTGCAAGCATTTCTAATCCGGTTTTTCATATTTTCAACGGTTGTTGGCTTTTTAGAATACACTTTATTTTTAATGTAGCCCCAGAAATAAAAGTCAAGGGGCGTAAAATTCAAGAATGGCCCTCAAGATCACCCGACTTGACAAGTAATTGTACAAAAACTCATCTTGTCTTGACTGGCTGGATCATGTAAGATAAGACTACAGGAAAGCGAATTTGTATTTTTATTAGAACTAGAACATAACAGGCGCGCGCTACTAAGCTTTTAACATTTATGCAGGATGTTTTCAAATACGGAACTGTCAAAACACACAATTTTGGCAATGACAGATACTCGTGAAGTAAACGCAGCGAGAGAACCAATCAGCATCGCGGAAAAGCGACAACAATAAACTTCGATACATTCGAGTATCGATTTAACATCTCCTTTTTTTTAGAAAGGATACCGCAAACTTAAAGCTTTATAACTCGGAAAATACGCAATAGAAAAATATTTTATTGTAGTGTTTTGGAAAGCTCTCGAGATAAGCTACGAGAATATGTAATGAAAAATGGTATGTTCCATTTAAGAAATTGAAGGTGACCTTCATGTAATTTTCAAATGATTATCCAAGGTCAAACCAATGGTACCATCTTGTGACCCCCTCGAAACCATACAATTTTTGTCTGAAACATTTTTCTCTAAAATCAAAAATAAGAAAGTTATTTGGGGTGGACATTTACAATTAAAATGGGACATCCTGTATACTACATGTGTATAGACAGAACGAGAGAGAGAAAATTAAAGAAAAAATTTAGTTTTGTTTACTAAAAATGATATATATATATATATAAATTAAAAATAAAAATAATATAAATTAATTATTTACATATACTTATAGTTATATACATATACTTTCTAAAACTTTTAGAGTGAATTGTCACTCAAAGTAACAATTCACTCTAAAAGTTTTAGAAAGTATATTTATAGTTGAGTGAAATCTCGCTTTTAAAGATTGAAAATTGAGCCACTCTCTTATTCTTTAGAATAAGATTCCATTCCAAAGAATGTAGAGAGTAAGAATATTTTTTTCCTTTGTGAAATCTTTATTATGCATTATACATACATATCTATATAATTCATATCTGCGAGGCGTCGAGTGGCTTACCGCTCGGTGCGATTGACTCGTGATCTGTAGATCCGAGTTCAATCCCACCTGCGCCCACATACGCGATTTTTCGCGTTTAAGGAACTGAAAATGACTTCATCTGGTGATTAAGAGATCTTTGATCACCAGCGCCGTTCGAATCCGGCGTTAAACTGTAGATCCCATATAACAATGGATATATAAGAGATAAAGAGTTTTATTTGGCTGTTATAGTTGAGACTTGAGTGGTTGCGTCTTCCCTTTCTTTCTCCTCCTCTATCTCCGCTCTTTCAGCAAGAAACTGATATTTTTTTCCTGAAAATTTGGAGAAATAATTTTACGTGCCGCAATAAAAAAAAGGCTATTATGTCTAAATTTGTGGTGCACTTCTTGCACTTTGGTACCTACATCTATTACACCAAATTTTTTTGAATTGTCGAATCGGCGCTGGCTTGATGAGAATAATCGGCGCTCTCGTTCGCAGGATAAAGATACTCGTAACAGGCTGCGTTCAGCAGAAAAAACTAATCAGTTAATGCTTAATGATTCTTCGGTGATATAATTGGTTGTTGCTTTTAGTTCTTCGCTGGATTTAAGTGTAAGAATCAATCATATTAAAAATTCACTATTGCTGATTAATTTTCTCTGCTGAACGCAGCCAATAAGCTACATCCGCGCCGCGTTTACCATACGCGAGTCGTTCATATATCACTCGCGTCGATTATTTCACGGACGTTTATATATTATACGATATACGACAACGCGACGTGAATGATATCGATCACGTAACAATGATATTCACGTAAATCAAAGGTGACACATGGCGCGTGCCATGAAGCTGTCGATCCGTCTTTTAGCAACAATTTACTATTAAGAAGGTGAAATCTGTTCATGGCCTCGAGTGTCTCGAGTGACCAGTGTGAGGTCACAATAGCGCGACGAACAATAGCAAGGTCAGACGCTGCTCGAGATCGAGGTGAGTCATTACGTTAATTTACCAGCCATGACAGAGAATTTATTGCGGTGTTGCAGGCGTCGAAGATTAGCTCTTTCGTTCTTTCTCTGTCTCACTCTTTGATACGAGAACAGCTGCGAGGCATTTCCCGCTCACGGGTAATTTCCTATTTAGCTCTCTCGTTGTCTGTCGACGTCTTGATTGACCGACGAAAAGCTTAGCTTGCGGAGTAACGGTAATAAATTGCGTTAACGCGGTAGGCGATCATGTCTAATTGAATTTCCCTGTAACATCAGAACGTATTCGATTCGTGTCACTTGATTTTCATGTTATGATCTTTAACGTTGCTGAAATATTTGTCAGCGCAAATTGGATCTCTCACGATTAATATTTGTATATCGAATTTGATATTTTTTTAGCTATATTATATTTTTGGTAATATCGTATGTATAAATATTATAAAATTAGAGAGAGAGAGAGAGAGAGAGAGAGGTGGGAGAGCAGAAACACTCTATGAAATGTTTCCATGGAAAATTGAGAAGAGAAGTGCTTTCATTTATTTTACCGGCATGTTATCTAAATATTTTAGAGAATATACATTTTTTTAGAAAGTTTTTTTTAGAGAAAATAGGGATTGTATTATTGTTTGATCCAAATATGCTATTTCCATATATTTCAATGAAAATAACAATAATAATAGTTAGAAAATAACATTACAACTCTTGTAATCAATACTTGCACTTTTACGAAATGCAATAATCGTGCATCAGCGAATATGTACAAGCTAAAAATTTCACGCATACGAAATTAAACTGTTCTGATAAATTAAGTAGAAAAGCAGTCTCAGGATGCCTACGGTTAAATCATGTAATACTAATCTCAATTGATTGCTCGTCGATTTCTATTTTCCCGCAATCACAATTGCGAATTAGTTTTACGATTTCAGCGGCACCAGTACTTATTGGTGCTAATGA